GTGGAACACCAGCATTAATAGGCTTGTAGTCGGAGCATGCACCGTCTACAACGACCTTGATGCTCCGATCTGCAAGGAAGCTGGTGATCCAATTGCACAATTTCTCGGGAAGCCCATAGGTAGGGAGCTTCGATAGAAGCGCTTTGTGCCAAATCCGATCAAAGGCCTTCGCAATGTCCAAACTAACGGCCAACGCCTCCCCCTTGGACTCTACTGCCTCCGCCAATCTATGGGTCAGGTAGACCAGATCACCAGCTGATCGACCCCGACAAAAACCGTATTGGTGGTCACTAATCAGCTGGTGATCCTCAAGGTACCGCATGAGCTGGCAGTTAATAATGGATTCCATTATTTTGGAGAACAAGCAGGTGATCGCGATAGGCCTATAGTTGGACGGGTCTGAGCGGTCGCCTTTTTTAGGGATCGGGTGGACAAAAGCTGTCTTCCATGAATTCGGGACTAGGCCTTGGGAGTAGGAGTACCGGAAAAGACGCGTTAGGACCGGTGCCAACTCCGGAGCACATGTACTCAGCACAATTGGGGGGATTCCGTCAGGCCCACTCGACTTCTGGATGTCCAGGGAGATGAGTGCTTTGCGAACCGAGCGCTGTGAGAACAGCACATCCGGCATGGAGCACTCACACCGCGGGATGGTCGGCGGTGTTTTCCCCCCGTCATCAAGAATCGAGTTGGACGCAAAAAGGGAGCATAAAAGGTCGGCTTTGTCTTTTGCGGCTTGGGCCAGTGAGTCGTCCTCCCTGTGCAGAGATGGTAGTGATGGCTTACAGAAATTCCCTTGGACAGCCTTGGCGAGAGACCAGAATGCACGGGTTCCCGAAGGAAGGTGAACTAGTTTCTCGCCAATTCTGCCTATGTGCTCTGACTTTGCCTTGGCAATAACTCTTTTGAAGGACCTGGAGGCGAAGTTATACTTCTTTTTAAGTGTGCTGGTGTTTACATCCCGAGTCGCCGAAGCCGCAGCCCAGACTTGATAACACTCCTGCTTACTGCGTAATGCAGTTTTACAGGAGCGACCAAACCAATGCTGAGATCTGCCTCCGATGGGTACTACAGATGATGGAATAAATAGTTCCATTCCCTGTAGCACCACATCAGTGACAGAGTCAACAACAGCGCTGGGATCATCCGGCGAGAAGCAAACCCGCCCCCATGGGTAGGATGCAAAGAAAGACCGCATTCCGTCCCAATCCGCCGACCTGTAATGCAAAACACGGCGGCAACCGGCAGAACGCAACCGCGAGGGGATCGTGAGTGGCACCACACTCCGGATCAGACAATGGTCCGAAGAGCCGAGAGGGGCATCGACGGAAACCTGATATCCGTCCGGATGAAGGTCAGCAGAAGGTTCAACAGGGAAGGTGTATGATGCTCCACATCTGGAATCCGCGTAGGCGACGTAACCAGTTGTGTCAGAACATATGCAAAGGCAAAGTCATAAACAGATCTCCCCGCATGATCGGTTAAACGTGAAACGAGCCATTCGGCCTGGTGGGCGTTAAAATCGCCAAGGATCACGATTTCTGCGGATGGGACCTGTTGTAGCAAGGAATCTGTAGCCATTTGGACGTGGTCGATGAGTCGGTCTGTTTCGGCATTACCGCTATGGGACCTATAGAGGCACCCGTAGACGCGCGGATGGTCGTCACTGTCTACGCGTAGCCAAAGGATGGATAGGTCCGAACCTTCAAGACTGCCGAGGCGTCGAGAACAGATGTCCTCTCTGACATACACGCAAACTCCAGCCCGAGGCACAAAGGAGTGCTCCAATTTGTACCCCGGGTAGGAGAGATACGAAATATCAGCCGGAGAGGAAACCTGCGTCTCGGTCAGAAAGAGCAAGGCCGGCTTCGCCGTCTCTAGATGGTAGTGGACGGCGTTTAGGTTCGAGTGAAGTCCCCTGATGTTGCAGAAATTCACGGATAGCGTGGCAGGGGTCGCCTTGGTATATTTGCCCAGTTTGCCCCGAGCAGTTATGTGCCCCACCTGCACTCACCAGACGAAACGCAGAAGCAGAGCTTCTACTTCATGCCGGGATTCTGTGAGGTCGTGGTACTAACCCGGCTCGAGCCGGCCCATATGTGCAACTGCAAAAACTGCTGCGTGGCTCTACCACCGTTAGCTTTATGATAATTGGGTATAATGTTTTAAAATAAAACATCATTAGCTTCCTTTTTCATTATATTTATTGTAGAAGTAAACTAAATGAATGCTCTCTTATTTTGCCAACTAACAGCACCTTCACCATTAAAATATTGTACATATTCTTCTCTTACAAATTTTGCATCATTGCTAACATTGCCATTAATTAGATTTAATGGAATGATACCTTGTACTGGTATATTTTCTTCCACAGTACAGTTGTCAATATCAAATAATTCATAGTCTGAATAATTAGATCCCGACCTCCTCAAAAAATTATGGAGAATACAACACGTTAGGATAACAAGATCGATTCGTTGTATACTCAAATTAATGGCCGTATTAAAAATTCGAAAACGACGAGTCTATAATTACGATAATCTATAATTATATACTCTTCTCTCTGGAGTTAGAGCATTTTTACCAAAAGGCTTCATAAGGTTGGGTGATAATTTAAATGCTTCGTCGGCCACAAATACAAAAGGCTAATCTTTGGTACTGTTTTGGGGCTCCTTTTTATTGGGAATATTTAAATCGTGATAATTTAACTTCTTATAAAAACGCGTTTCAGTAATAGCACCACCATCAGATCTTCTGCCATTTACACCGGCTTCGCACCATATAATTTCGTAATTTGCATTGGCACAAGCTATTAAAACAATGCTAAAAAATTTTTTGTAGTTGTAGTAAGTGGAAATCGATCCAGGTGGTGGAACAATCCGGACGTGTTTGCCGTCGATAGCGCCCAGACAGTTAGAAAATTGCCATCTTTCTTCGAATCCTTTCGCAATTGTTCGCCACTCGGCCTCCGTTTCTGGCATCTGTAATAAAAGCATGTGTATTTTTCAGGATGATGTGGACACGAATACAGAGGAAGAGTGTAATCAGTCAGCATGCAGGACACCCACGAGCATATCGCAACAAAACTACCCACGGCAAATTAATATTGCAAAAAGAAAAGTAAAAAATGCCGCAACAGAAGTTTTATCAAAAATATCAAACAGGCTGGATTCACCAGTTACAAAATCAAAACCACCATATAGTGCATTTGGCGAGCATGTGGCTGAAAAGTTGAGAAGTATGAACCAAGATGCAGCCAAATATTGTCAAAAATAATAAATGACGCAATATTTTATGCTGAATTCAATAACTTAAATTATACATCCCACATTGTCACCGACTATCTGCAACATCCTCAATCACCGTCCATACAAAATCAATCACCCTATCAGTCTTCTCACCAACGATCTAGATTTTCACCATCCTCATCTTCGCAAACTCAGTCACCACCATCACATCAACATTTGGCTTCACCGTCTATACTAAATCAACCACCCTATCAGTCTTCTCAGCTACGGTCTAGATTTTCACCATCCCCATCTTCGCAAACTCAGTCACCACCATCACATCAACATTTGGCTTCACCGTCTATACTAAATCAACAACCCCATCAGTCTTCTCACGAACAGTCTAGATTTTTAGCATCACCATCACCACATTAACATCTACCTATAGTATCATCGTCCGTACAAAATAAATCCCACTATCAGTCGTCTCACCAACGGTCTACATTTTTAACATCACCATCTTCTCAAACTCAATCACCACCATCACATCAACATTTGCCATCACCGTCCATACTAAATCAATATGTACCGTTACCGTTACAGCCTATTAAAGTCCACTGCTACACATAGATATCCCCCATAGGTTGCCTCTTAGGGGGGATATTTGCCATAGTTGCCACACTTGGCAAACGGGCTGGCGACCGCAGTTTATTTTTATTTTTAGTTGTTATTAGGAAGACTGTTGCCCATCTCCTGATTTGTTTCCCTCTGTCGCCTCTTACGACACCCACGGGGTGATATGGAATAGTGGTTATTCTTACACCGCTACTACAAGGCCGTCATTCAGGCGTACATCTACTTTCAATTTGTCACCGTATAATCATCCATTCCGTAAGTTTATAATAAATGTTTACAATTATACGGTGACATATCCAAATAAACAACCTGTATTTAGTCTAGGAGGAATCGGTGCATGAGTACCGAAAACTATTTCACCTCACATTTTTTATGCGATTCTGTTCAAATTTGTAGTGTTTATAAATTTACTCACATATTTTATATGAGTCAGAGTATCTGAATTTGAGATTTTCAAACATTTAAAAATTTATAACTCCGAAAACATTAACTTCTACGTAAAAAATCATAGGACCTTTTTTATTCATATTTTATCAAACAATATAAAAATATCTTTTATATTTTATTCTTTTTTTTATACGTTTTAATGGGTCGATAGTATTCAAATTTGAAATTTTAAAACATTTAAAAATTCATAACTTCGAAAATATTAACTAAAATGGTTGGAGAGTAGTGGACTGTATTTGTTATTTTAAAACTGGCGGTGTGAGGTTAGCTATACTAGGGGACTGCTCGAAGAAAAGATGGTACTTTTAATTATACTATATTCACTATTTACAAAGGGTTCGGTACATTAACTAATCACTATACAAAAGGGAGGTCTTCAGTATGGAGTCTTCTGTCTTGATTCTTCCTTGTCTTCTGATGATCCGAAGGAACCCGAATGAATCCGAATGAACCCGAATGAACAACGACCGTCCGAGGCGCCCTTCTTATATTTCCGAGAAGAGCGCTTCATTTCGTCGGGTTAGCCGCCCGATGGCAACTTTCGCCGCACGCGCGCTGATTGGCTGCCCGATATCGCGTGATCAGCGCCGGCGTGCGGGGTGCGCGGGACGTAACGGGGAACGAAGGGGCGACGGGGCGGCGGGTCTCTCGCTGTCCGTAACATTCTCCCCCCGGCGTAGCCTTGCGAGCCTAGGCTGCACTCGGGAGGACGGCGATCCTCCTGACCGGCCGCCGCAGCAATCCGCCCCTGGTCCTCACTTCCACGTTCCGTACCACGCCGTCTGGTCCGGGAAAGGTCCTCGTTACAACTCCTCTTGGCCACACGTTCCTCGGCATGGTCCCGTCTGCCACCACGACGAGGTCTCCTTCTTGTACCGGGCGCTGCTGCACGTCCCTTGAGTCTCCGCGCGCAACCAGCGTCGGCAGGTATTCCTTCACCCAGCGCTTCCAGTACTCGTCGGCAAGTCCCTGCGCCGCTCTCCACGCCCGACGATCATTAGGCGTGCACGGCGCGGTCACTGGAAGGCTCGATGGTCCCAGCAGCAAGAAGTGGTTGGGTGTCAATGCCTCTTCTTCGTCGATGTCGACCGGTACGTGCGTCAACGGTCGAGAGTTAACGGTGTTTTCGGCTTCTGTGAGGAGCGTCGCTAATGTCTCCTCCCGTGGGCTCTTCTGATTGAGTGTGGCTTCGAGCGCGGTCTTCACCGAGCGCACGAGACGCTCCCATGCGCCTCCCTGGTTCGGCGCACCCGGCGCGATGAACTTCCAATCCGTCCGCCGAGTCAACGCGTAGTCCTTCAGCAGGGGTGCCCACTCTTCCATCGCTCGTCGTAATTCGGTGTCCGCCCCATGAAAGTTTGTCCCGTTATCCGAGTAGATGACCCGTGGCCACCCACGCCTAGCCGCCATGCGCCGCAATGCCGATATCGCCGAGTCCGTCGTTAGGGAATAAACTATCTCTAAATGTACCGCGCGCGTCGTCAAACAAGTGAATAACGCTATCCACCGTTTTTCATGCCTACGTCCTATTGTTACCGTTATAGGCCCGAAATAGTCGATTCCGGTGTAGGTGAATGGTCGCGCGAATGCCCCTAACCGTTCAGGTGGTAGATCTCCGATAACCGCTGGCCGAGGTGTCGCCTTGCGTACCCTGCACCGCAGACATCTCCGCTCCACTTCTCGTACGGTCGGTCGTAGTCGAAGTATGTGATATCTCGTGCGTAGGTTGTTCACTACCCGTTCCCTGTTGGCGTGGCTTGCTTCCTTATGCGCCTTCTCCACAAGCAGCTTTACAAACTGGTGGCGTCCGTTCAGGATGATGGGCCTCTTCATTTGGCTGTCCACATTGGCTGCGTCAATCCGTCCTCTAGCTCGCAGTACGCCATCTTCGAATATGGGGTCGAGCTTCCTTAACGCGCTGCTGGTTGCCAAGTTCCTTCCTTTCTGCAGTCGACTGATGTCTTCAGCAAAACTCTCTTGTTGACTTCGCTCTATCCACATCCGCTCTGCTTTCTGGATGTGGTCCAATGTTAGTCCGTGCGCCTTTCCTCTCATGGCATCGACGAACTGTAATATCCGAGCGGTGGCCCTGACCAATCTCTCGTAAGAAGAGAACCTCTCGATGTCTGGCAGGTGTGGAGCTCTCCTGGTGTCGCTCTGGTGCGCCACGACTTCCTCCAGCTCATCATCTTCATCCCCTGCCTTCTCTTCCCGTCGTCGAGGCCATCGATCTTCCTCTTCGTACAGGAATGGCGGTCCCGTAAACCATTTGTCGCTCTCTTCCTTGTACGTATAATTAATGCGCGTTGCCTGATCCGCGATGTTGTCTGCGGTCGGTATCCACCTCCATTGCTCGGGTGACGTCTTCTCCGATATTTCCCCTAATCTATGTGCTACGTATGGGGTGTAACGCGCCGTATCGTTTTGAATCCAATGGAGCGCCGTAGTGGAGTCTGTCCAATAAACTACCCTATCGGCTACCACTCTGTGCTCGCCTTGCACGAATTCCGCGAGTCGCGCGCCTATCAGATTCGCCTGCAATTCTAACCGTGGTATGCTTTGCGCCTTTATCGGGGCGACTTTCGCCTTGGCCGCCACTAATCGTACCTTAATCGTTCCGTCGCGGTATCGTAATCGCCAATACGCCGCGGATGCGTACGCACGTTCGCTTGCGTCGCTGAACACGTGGAGCTGACGCTCTACCACTCCCCCCGTAGGAGCATAGCACCTAGGCAGCCGCAGTCGTGATACTTCCTCGACGACCCGCAGCCACCTCTGGAATTCCTCAGCTGCCTCCTCGGGTAGTTCGTCGTCCCATCCGACCTTCTTCATCCGCCACAGGTCTTGCAGCAGGATCTTGGCGGTGATGGTGAGGTAGCTCAGCAGTCCAAGCGGGTCGAAGACCGACATGACTGCACTCAACGCCTCTCTCTTGGTCGGTGGCCTCTGCAGCGTCTTCACCTCGTTCGGTACCCGGTTCATGGATGTGTTGAACGTTAAGGCGTCTTCATTGGCCATCCATAATAGCCCTAGGGTTCTGCCTGGGCTGTCTTGTCTCAAGCCTACCTCCTTAGGCTTGCTCGCTAATAATTCCTCCGGCTTGTCCTCTAGTAGGGCTGCGTGGTTCGAATTCCAGCCCGCTAAGGTGAAGCCGGCCTGCTGGTGGACTTCCGTAACCTGCCTCGCAGTGTTTACCGCTTCCTCTACCGTAGCATAACTGTCTAGGTAGTCATCCATGTAGTGACTACGTACGATAGCGTTAAGTGCCAACGGATGTGTCTCAGCGTGGGCGCGCGCGTTATGATCCCTAACGCTATGTGCGAGAAACGGCGAGCTCCTCGCACCGAAAATCATTGAAGTCATAACGTATTCCCGCGGTGGGCTGGATCGCTCGTTACCTCGCCACAGAAATAATTGCGCGGGCTGGTCGCGACGGTCAATCTTAACGCGTAAAAACATTTCCCTAATGTCCGCTGACACGGCTATTTCGTTCTCCCTGAATCTGAACAGTATGCCCGGTAGGTTCCGTAACAAGTCGGGGCCGTCAAGCAAGTAATCGTTCAAACATTTACCGGACGCACGCGCTGCCGCGTCGAAAACCACTCTCGTCTTCCCAGGCTTGTTCGGGTTTCGTACTGCGAAGTGGGGCAGGTACCAGCTCTTAGGGTCCTCTCTCTCCGTCCCCTCGGCTTCCCTTGCGTATCCTTTCGCCAGGAGGTTATCTATTTGTGCGGTATAGGCGTCTCGAAATTCCGGCGATTTGTCCATTTTCCTCTCGATCGTCCGCAGTCTTCTAGCAGCCATCTCGTAGCTAGGAGGCATCCGCACGTCGTCGTCCTTCCATGGCAGTCCCACCTGGTATTGATCGCCGACCTTCTTGACGGTGCGCTGGAATATCTCGACAGCGCGTTCCTCTTCCCGTCGCGGCCTATTCCTTAGCGAGATACCGATGGAATCGATCTCGTACTGCCGTTTGAGGAGTTCCGTTATCTCCTCGTCTTGACTCGCGAACGTTCGGATGTCCCTATCTATCCGTCCGCTACTGCTTACGACGTGTAACACGGTTTCACCGTCCTCCCTACACGTGAATCGCGGCACGGTTCCCTGTATCACCCATCCTAATAGCGTACGTGCAGCTATAGGCTGCCTTCGACGCCCTATCCTCAAGTTACGGGTGATTATTAAATGCCAATTGTCGGCTCCTAATAATAATCTCGGTTTGGCGTCCTCATAGCAAACCGAGCTCGGTAGGTCGCGTAAATGCTTTAGACGTAAACACTCTTTATTTACCGACTGCGAACCTATCTGTAAATTCGTTACTGTACGCGCATTTATTCTATACATCTCGCTGCGCGATTTTCCACGTATGCCTATGTTGACTAGCCTGCTATCGGCCTCGCGCTGACTATTGCTTATTCCCCTAATATTCAGCGGCTTTACCGGTCCTTCCGCTCCTAACTCACGCGCTAAGTCGTCATCGATCAACGAAATAGTCGAACCTTCGTCGAGCAACGCGTACGTGTCTATTTCCTTACCGTGTGGTCCACGCAACGTAATGGGACACACTTTCAACAATACGGATGCATTCCTACCGACGTTAGACGCGACGAGTACGGTCTCATCCGGTTTGGCCGATGTCTCAGGTGCGCGGGTCTTGCGGGTGTGAAGGAGGGCGTGGTGGGGGGCGTTGCAGCCGTCGATGCCGCATTTCTTTGCTTTACATTTAAACCGTCGGTGTTTACTGTTTAAACATAGAAAACATACCCCGTCTTCTTTTACCCAATTCCACCGGTCGTCCACACCCATTTGCGCTAACTTTTTACACTTTGCGATCGCGTGTTCACCTCCGCAGCACATACAAGAGGCACTACCGGTGTCCTCCTGTGCGGTGAACGTTTTTACGTCGCGGGCCCTATTCTCTACGCGGCGTGTCACTATCCTCTTCGACGGCGGCGCCTCTCGTCTTACGGGCGATTCCTTAGTCGGCTCTACGGAAGTATAGGCATGACTCAACGCACGATCAGCCTCTCTCATCATGAACCTGGACAGTGTAACGATGTCCGGCTCGTCTGCACTCCCGTAGTGCTCCGCATAATCACACCAACGCGACCGTAAGTGAGGGCTTAACTTACTCGTTACCTCCCTAGTAAGCATTGGATTTTGCAGATATCCCTTGCCGTCGACGTTTTGCAAAATGCACACGATATTTTGCAACTTTATTGCGAACGCATTTAGCTCCTGTGCAGTTTGACCCGGGCGCGGAAGGCGTTTCAATTCTTCTAACGCGCGATCGATAATTACTTCTGGGCGGCCGAAACACTGCTCTAATGTTCGCATAATATCTGCTGGATCCTTCGCGGTAAACAGCAGTGCCGATACTACTTCCCTAGCTTCACCGCGTAAGCAATTTCTTAACCTTGCCATATTTTCCGTATCTGTGAATCCATATAGACGCGTGGATTCTTTCATCGCGGCTTTGAACGCTAGCCATTCCGCGGCCGAACCGTTAAAAATAGGCAAGTCCTGCGTCTGCTTCGCGGCAGCGGGCCTAACTCTGACCATATTCTCCAGAGCTTCCGCTAGTCGCTCTATACCCCTATCCTTTCCTCGCGGAGTAAGCGACCTATCTCTATCCCTATCTCTCTCTAGCCTACGCTGTGGCGCTGGCGTCCTATGCGCACCTACATCCCTATGCGGCGACGGTGATCTACGATCCGCGTGGCGATGTGGCGATCTATGTGTAGGCGATAGAGTGCGGCGTTGGACGCGCGACGGCGACGTAACCCGTACACGACGATCCACCTGGTTCATTCCTGCGGCGACTCCATCTTCCCTTTGTACCGAATCTATGCGGCGCGGTTGAACGTTATTCGCTTCCGTCC